ATATATATATAACTTTCCCCAAAATAGCTAGAAGTGTATAAACTAAAAATTTAACACTGGTTATTTTCAGGTTGTGGAGTGTTTTCTTCTTTTCTATGCCTCCCAATTTTTCTACAGTTACTTTTTGAATCAGAAAAACATTTTAATGACTACATCTTTAATAAACTACTTCTTAGTTTAATTTTAATGAAGTCTTTTCTAGGTTGAGTCAAGGTGTTTTCTTCTGTTGAGAAAATGGGCATTGTTAAACATTAGCAGTTCATAATTCTTCTTCCACACAAAATGATGAATAACATGCAGTTACTTTTCACACTGTGTTCCACGAGGCTGGAAAACTGAGCCAGACCAGATTCTTTAGAATTAATATAAGTTCTACAAAAGCAGTTATTTAATTTTCTAACTCTCTTTAATGTACCTTTGACATCATTAGTATAATCACAATCCTTACTTTTTTTTGAGAGCAGTGAACCAACTAATTCTTTACAACTGAGCTTGAAAAAGATCCTTAATTTAAAAAGTCTCCCAAACCTTGAGATAGTTGGCAGGGCAAAGGCAGAATGTAAGTATTTGAATTTCTCAACTAGAGAGTTCACAAAGTGTTAGGACTCTTTTTTCCAGTCTTGTTTTGTAAAAGAATCTTTATTCCAACTCAGATTCATTTTTCTTCAAATCAGCTGCAAGAGAGCAAACAAACTTTGCTGCAAATCAAAGCCCTGACAGTTATATTTCCCTGAGATAATTGCATTCTGCTTTGGACTTTCCTTTTCCCCTCTGTTTCCTTTTGTTTTGACAACAAGATTCTGGGAAAACAATATACAAATGATAACTATGCTGTCATGAGTATACTGAATTTTAAAAATAAATAACTGTCGACCCCAAAAGCTTCCAGGAGCCTATGGAGTGAGTTCTTTTTCCAAACCGTTCCAAAACCAGATGTGGAAATGTTTAGCTAATTCCCCTCCCCACTCCCCATGCAAAGAGTTCATATGTGTCTCTGACGACATCAGAGCAGATGGGGAGGCAAAAATCCTGTCTGCTTTCAAGGAGATTTGTGTTACACTTCTCAATTCACTCACCAACATCACAAAACAAATTTGGACTGCAGCTTTTGTCTCTTTTTTTTTCTTCCTGAGATGAAAAATGCTCTGTGTTTAGACCAATATCCAACCTCTTTCTTATAAGTCATTAAGAAATAGAGTTCATATTCCCAGAATGAAATGTTTAATGATTTTTAAAAGTATTTATTAAGCATTAGGCTTATTAAGGAGTTCTTGAAAAAAGGGAGGGAGGAAAACTCTGTTAAAGGAACTAATGGAAAATGGATATGCATAAACCACATTTAGAAAAACAGAAAGCTACTGTACTCTGAGGCTGCTAGAAAACCAAACATTTTGCATCCAGGTGTCATTAGCAGCTCTGGTTTTGCTGGCCTCTCTATAGCTTAGTTCAGCACAGTATGTACCAATAGCTGAACCCTACTTGGCTATACAAATGCATCAAAATTCATTGCTTCTTGAATATCACAGGGATAATTTGCAATCAAGTCAAAATAGGCTATGCTAATGCAAACCTTGAGACCTGCTTTTTGACAGCCTAGCCACCTCCTCCAGGAGCTGGACAGTAGTCCAAAGTGAGCGCTCCTTTCTGTGCATTTATTTCTACCCCAGTTCTCAACGCCCCATAGCTCTGAAGATTTCTGGACACCTTAAATCGGATTCTGTCCACAGCTCCCGGGATGCTGTGCACAGCCCCAACTATGGCTAAAAATACCTTCAGTTTGGCACCCCCCCACCCCGCACCACCCACTCTTCTGGCACCCCTTCCCATCTCTAGCTCCTCAGCCTTCTTTTTCCTCTGCACCCAGTAATCAGAGCCCACCTTCTCTCTCCCCTGTTCTGCCAGCACATCTCAGCTAGAAGTTAGAAAAGCCAGCTGATTTTAGAAAGTCACCATGTGTTGTGAATGACTTACAACCATCCCCCAACATACACACATGCACACAAATACACACACACAAACTCTATACCCTTCCCTGGGAATTGCAGGCTACAGGGAAGGGAGGTTGCCCAGTTCTGATAACCTGTACTCAGTAAAAGGGAGCAACACCCCAAGTGTGGCATTGAACTAGGTATTAGTGAGCTCATTAGTGAGGCAGTCTAAAATCATTGGTTGGAGGGACAACTGTCTTGTTTCTCAGAGGATCTGGGCTTTTTATTATTTTTTTAAGATCTTATACTATTGTTTTGTTTTTAAACTTTATTGGGGAACAATGTTTTTTTTCCAGGACCCATCCACTCCAAGTCAAGTTGTTGTTCTTCAATCTAGTTGCGGGGGGTGCAGCCCACCATCCCATGCGGGAGTCAAACCGGCAACCTTGTTGTTAAGAGCACGCACTCTCACCAACTGAGCCACCCGGCTGCCCTGAATCTGGGCTTTTTAGAACCATTTGGATTATCCATGAGAGGGAGGAGGAGGGAGGAAGATAGGAAAGATGCTTGAGGGAGGGAGAGGAAATGGATGGCGTAACTTCCCGGACAATAACACAGCTTTAAACTTAGGTCTCTGTTTTTGAGTTTGAACAATGAAAATGGAATGGAAGAATTGTTTCTCTGGCCTATTGCAGGAACTACTTAAACAAGAGGGGTTTGTTCAGAGCTAGTAGGCCCAGGCTGTGCAATGATGTTAAGGACAGAAGGAAGGAAGGAAGGAGAGGGAGAGAGAGAAAGCCACTCCTAAAGCATGCCCAGGATAAGATGGTCTTCTTTAGACCAAGACAATAGTGCAGTAGTGATGGAGTGATTATGTCAGCTTCCAAAAGGAACCTCAGCAAATATCTTGCTTCATTCCCGAGCAAGTGCTTTGTTTATTTAACTGTTGAGTCATCATCCAGGACCAGCTGGCATCAGAGTTTACTTGGTTTGTTGTTGTTGTTGTTGTTGTTGTTTTATCTTGTTGGTGTTATTTTTTGGAAGGGTAAGAGGGTCCAGGGTTTTTGTGTGTGGCTTCTGTTTTTGCTTTGTGTAAAACAAAAGAGCAGTCCCAGGAGAGACATTTCAGAGTGAAAAAAAAGGGAAAGGAAGGAACCTGGGTGGACCCTTACGCTTCTCTTTTCACCCCAACACCCCGGAGAGAATGACGGATCATTAATGAATGAGAGATAGCGAGACTGATCTGTACCAATCAGATCACGTGGCTGACTTAGAAACAAAGCGTTTCATGCAGGCCGGTGGTGCACTTTTCTAGTGGGATCGTATGCCATGGTTTCCATTAAAGAATGCAACAAATTCATCAATAGCAAAGGAAGGGAAAAAGCTGCATTTTTGCAACTGGGGAAAGGAGGAGGAAGGAAATGTCTTGGAATGCTTTTCAGCACAGTGCTGTGCACATAGTAGGCAATAAATATTAGTCAAAAATGAATTCATTTATGCGAGGGTTACTTAACTCAGCAGGGAACAAAAATAAAATCCTTACACATATATATCCAATTCCTTTGAAATGTTAGGCACTTCTCTATTTGATTTATGTCATTTTGACTTTTAAAATGAAAGCTGAGTTTGACAATATTTGATGATATTCCTCTTCCTTCTTCATTTGCCACTTCCTTCTGATGTTGTGTTTTAGGCACTTGTTCTTAGCATTACTCTTTTGTCTCCCCACTGCTCTGCCTGTCATTCTTTAGGAAGTGAAAAGGCAATAGGACTAGGAGGTGGCCACAGAGTTTCCTACTGAAAAAAACAAAATGAACAGCTAGTGAAAATAAAAGAAGAATGTAAAGCAAAGCATGTGACTCAATGAGGTGCCAACCATGGCCACAAAGGATATTTTAGAAAACCACTATGCTGTACACCTGAAACTAATATAAAGTAATATTGAATGTCAACTGTTATTTAAAAAAATAGTCACGGGGATATAAAGTACAGCACAAAAGAAAATACCTTGTCAATCAATGTGTAAAATGCAAACCCAAGACCCCCTTTCTCTAATATAGGATGTTTGAGTAGTTTCATGTATAATATGGATCAAAAAATATAAAATTAAAAACCAGTATGCTTTTGTTTCTGTAATTTCACTATTTTACAAGGTGTCCCACTTGATATATCAGGGAATCTATTGATCATAATGGCTTATGATGCTACTGCTAGAGTTTTTGAAGGCTTCATTTGATCATTTTAATGGAACCACTCAACAAAATTTCAATATTTGGTTGTCAGGAATAAACCACAGTTTCTTCTTAGGTTTTTATTTAATTACATTTGTTGCTAAGCAAAAAAAGGCCATAGGGAGGGGTTCATTAGTGTCACATATGGGAGGACACTGGGGCCCCTAAGGAGGGAAGTACTGCCAGCTTGAATTAAACTGTATCTCCTGTCTCCTTATTTAATGTTTGGCATGAAAACTGCTTTTGTTTTCTTTTGTTGGGGTTACACACAAAAAGATGCCACTCTTGATCAGTATAGACTCTCATTCTACATATGAGGGATGTGTTTTATACCAAAACAGAACAGGAAAGTTACTTACAGGAGACACTGTAGTCATCCATTAACCTGTGAGCACCAATAATGAAATTAAAATTCAGTTCTCTGTCACAAGAATGTTTTCCTTTCCCTTTTCTCAGCTTTATTGAGGCATAATTGACAAATAAAATTGCAAGATATTTAAAGTGTACAGCATGATGCTTTGATATACGTATACATTGTGAAAGGATTCCCCTCGTCAAGTTAATTAACACATCACATATTTAACATTTTTGGTGAGAACATGTAAGTTCTATTCTCTTAACCTTTATTTATTTATTATTTATGTATGTATGTATGTATGTATGTATTTATTATGTCGATGCTTTAGGAATGGCCTCTTATTTTTTTAAAAAATGATCATGTTTGAACTTTTGATAGGAAATAAGATGATCTGCCTTTTGTGTTTTTTTTTTTTTGGACTCTAGAAATCCTCACCAGACAGCTTCCTGTTTCCTGAGAGCTATTACGTGATCAGCTACAGGGATGAAAGTTTCCAAGTTGATAGGAAAGATGGTCATCCTCATCTCTGTGTTTTCGACCTGTTCTGGGCAAAATCCAATGACTGTATTGTGCTCCATAGACTGGTTCATGGTCACTGTACACCCCTTCATGTTGAACAATGAAGTATATGTTCACTTTCATGAGTTACACTTGGGCCTGGGCTGCCCTGCCAACCATGTTCTGCCACATATGTACCAGTTCACCTACCGCATTACGGAATGTGGCATTAGGGCCAAGGCTGCCTTGCAGGGCATGGTTATCTACAGCACCGAGATACACTATGCTTCAAAGGTTACCTCATCTAAGCGCGTGATCCCAGTGTCATGTGCTGCCCCGCAGCGCTCCCCGTGGTTCAGTCCTCCCTACTCCGTGAAAGTAGCCAGCAAGATAGGGACCACAACCCAGAATGGTGAGACATGCTACAAAGTGTCTAACATGTCACAGTCCAGTGAAAGTCCCAACTGTGACTGCCCACCTTGTACCTTCAACAGAGAAGAGCATACCCAGGCCCCACATCACCAAGCAGAGGCTCAAGAGAGCCCTTCTGCTCAGTCATCTTTCTTTGTAGATACTTGTGAGGACTGGTCTCTTCACTCAGATGATCTGATTGAGTCCATGTGAACCCCACTTTGGGGTCTCCTATAGAGGCTCTGTCTACAATTAGCACATATTATTTACTAGTATCAGGCAAATAAGTGCACTTGTGGCTGTCTTAGGAGTGCTTTTAAGCTAGGGCAGCCTGTGGTAACTTCATGTACAAAGTGTTTTATATTGTTATATGTTTTTAAAAGCCAAAATAAAATTCTGATGTCATAAAAATATCAGTTGGGCATGTTTCATTTAATAAACACATACATAATATAACTTTTACTATGGGCCAGACAATCTTCCAAGTGCTTTTGAAATATTAGTGCCTGGTCTCTCTTCTCTAGGATAACTTATCTCTCCTTTAAGGTCCCCACACTTAATCCCTCTTTCTGTATCTTCATTTCACTTATACTTTGCAGCTTTCCAATGAGTCCTTAGCTACATACTTTCCTAGTTTGATCTATGGCTGTAGCACTTTTCATCCACAGAAGGCATAGGTTGCACTAGTGATTTTTATAAGCCACCAATGGTTCTAAGTATCACTCAAGCCACATCCCACTAACTAGTTGGTAAGCTCCTAAGGCCAAGGGCTGGATCTTATACTTTAGTCACAGACTGATAGTTCTTTGAAAGGAGTTTTGTTCCCCAACTTACATGATCAGAAAATGTTCATCCAAGTTTGGCTATCTATTAGCTTTCACAAAGACTTGGAGGGGAAAGGGTAAGTAAATGTATTCAACAAATATGCATTGAATGCTACTACAGTCCAGGTGCTGTTCTAGGCACTAAGGATATGGCAATGAATAGAAACTAAGGCTCAAAGAAACTGAGGTCACACAGCTAGTCAATAAATAAATAAGTAAATAAAGAGACATTTAGATAGCGACAAATGCCATGAAGAACTTAAAACAAAGTGATATGAGAGAAATTGGAGAAGGGGTTGGAGCAGTCAAGGAAGGCCTCTGAGGACTTGTCATTTGAATTGGGTCTTGAATGTGAAGAAAGACCCAGCTCTGGGATGATCAGAAGCGTCTCATTTAATGCTCACTACAACCCAGAGAGAAGTACTCTTATTATATCCATTTTACACATAAGGAACCTGAGGCACAGATGATTAAGAAACTTTCCCAAGTTTCTTTCCCAAGTGACTTTCCCAAGGTCACTCCTCTATTAAGAAGTAGACAATGGGGCCGGCCGAGTGGCGCGATGGTTAAGAACTGGCTTGGGACGCCAGAGGGCCGCGGTTTGGATCCCACATATGAGGGCCAGTGACACTGCCCTCCACAGCTAAGATGCTGAACAACAGCTCAACCTGGAGCTCGGCTGCTGTGAGTCGCCGGCGACGGCGTAGGCTGCAGACCCTGTGGTTGCCATGGGCTACCATGTGTAGCTAGCAGCCAGCAGCCAGCGTGAGCGGCCAGCAGCCGCAGTGAGCGGCCGTCCAGAAGCCGGTGACTGATGTGCCTCGCCCGGGAAGAGCGCAATGATGGTGCCAACTTGGGCCAGTGAAGCAACGTCCTCCACAACTAGACTGAAGAACAAAATGACAGCAACTTGTCTGTTCCCCTTCCCCTAATTCCCCAGCACTGTTCCCATCCCCCAATTGCCCAATAAAAAAAAATCTAAAAAAAAAAAAAAAAAAAGAAGTAGACAATGTTAGCACAATGTACATGTTCGTGTACACACAAAGTGTTTCAGTAGATTAGTAGACATTAGAAATTCAGTAATTGTCTTAGTCCATTCAGACAGCTATAACAAGGTACCATAGACTGGGTAGCTTATAAACAACAGACATTTATTTCTCATGGTTCTGGGGGCTGGAAATTCTAGATCAGGGTGCCACTATCATCAGGTTCTGGTGAGGGCCATCGTCTGGTTTGCAGACTGCTATCTTCTGGATGTGGAAAGAGAGCTAGAGAGCTCTCTGGGGTCCCTTTTATAAGGGCGCTAATCCCATTCATGAGAGCTCTGCCCTCATTGGCTAATCACCTCCCAAAGGCCCCCACCTCCTAATACAATCACATTGGGGGTGAGGATTTCAACACATGAATTTTGGAGGGACACCCAACATTCAGTCCATTGGCATGGTAGTTGAAGAAACACAGCTGTTAATTTAAAAATCTCCTGCCCCTTCTTGAGGAAGACCAGATAATAATCCTTGAAAACAGTGTATTCATTCAACAAACATTTACTGAATTTGTCCTATGTACCCGGCATTATGTTAATGCTGGACATGCAATGGTGAACAAGACTTACACGGTCTAACCGGGAGGAGACAAGTAAAGAAGCTTAGGGACCTAGAGGCTATTGCAGTCCAGGCAATGGGCCTACGCAAAAACATGAGGATCTGGGCTGTGGCCATCAGAGAAACCACAAGTAGTTTAGTCCAATACAATGGACAGGGCGGGGGGTCTGCAGTTGATGGTGGTAAGAGATAGGGCTAGAGAAGTAGCAGTATACAAGACTATGTACAATAAAGGTAACACTTCCCTCCCCATCCTCTCTTCAGAAGCTTACAGATTATTAAACACTAAAACACATGTAACTTAGCAAACAATCAGTACTAGACACATTAGACCTGACATTCAATCTTCAAGGTACAGCTAGGAAAAGAAGAAGAGACACCAAAGGAGAAAGAAGAGAAGTGATCAAGAGATGAAAGGAGAAGTATGACTCATGGAATTCTATGGGGGAGAGCCGGGTGGGCTATATTTTCCAGTGCAACAGATAAGTCAAGATGCAGTAAGCCTAGGAATCATGAAATTGAGAGCCTTTGAACTAGACCTTAAATGAGAGATAGAATTTCACTAGGTGAAGATATAGGGGAAGGGCATTCTAGGCAATGAAAACAGCAAGAACAAAAATGCAAAACAACATTGTGGTAAAGAATCACATTTTGCCTGGGTAAACGTCCCAGTATGGTTGGCCATAGTTTTTCAGAATTCAGGAGTAATCTGTACTTATTGACTTGGACAAGCCATCACTTCATAAAAGTATACTTCAACCATTTCAGTTGCATGTTTGATCTTCTCCACTTGATTGTATGCTTCTTAAGCATGGTTGGCACTCTCCTATTTGTTTTGCCTTTCTCTTACATGGTACTTAATAAAGGTACTTAGTCCGGACTGACTGACTGGTACTGAGAAAAGGTCTGGGAGTTCATAAGCAGAGGAACCATTCAAAATATGGGAAGATAGAAATGTCTTAAGAAAAACCTGCATTTTGAATTGGTTAACTTATTTACCTTTGAAATGCAATTCTAAAAGAGTATTTTCCTCCTTTCTTGTAGTAATGTTCATTCCTTTTCTAAGGTGACATGATTAACAAAAGTCTATTACATAATCTTAATCATATTTGTGATAACAAAAAGAAATGCAATCAAAAGAAATGAGAATTTTCATCTTTCTTTCAATATCTGGGAAAGCCAAAAGTTTCTGAAACCATTTGTGATGATAATTGCTTGTCAGATATTTTAAAATTAGACCTATAATGAAAATTTCACCCATAAAAGGAGACTCAAAGTAACATTTAAATTTTATTCCTATAACCTGAAAACAACAAACAAGATTTTATAAAAAAAACTGTGTAAAGTTCAGGACAAAAGTTTTTTATCCCTATTTTTAACCAATAGACCGTTTTGGAGATGTAAGTACCCCAATCTCTCCATTGCTCCACCAAAAATGAAAGCCTGCTTAAGCATTAAACTAAACAGAATGCTGTTCACACACACACACACACACGTGCACACACACGCACGCATGTGCACGCGCAGACAGGCACACACACCATGTTTATAAGAAACACATTATCAAGGGACAAGTGTTTATTATAAAGGGAAAGCTAATTTTCACAGAAACATCCTTTACTTTTTTTCTTTTTTCTTTAGTGTTAATCCCTACGATTGATCTTAAAGATATCCTGTTTAAATAGTACTTATAGTTGTTTATTCCCAAAAAAGAGAGAAAAAGGGGGGGAGGAACTTTGTGATTTTTCTACAGCTTTTCCAGAAGAAAACAAATGATTTGGTCAGATTTCACCTTATAATCTTAGGTTGGTTATATAATTACAAGACCTTCTGTGTTAGTTATCTATTGCTGAAAACAAATTACCCTAAAACAACAACCATTTATTACCTCACAGTTTCTGTGAGTCAGAAAACTGGACACGACTTAGCTGAGTGCCTCTGGCTCAGAGTCTCTCAGGAGGTGCAGTCAAACTGTGGGTGTGGCCGCAGTCATCTCAAGGCTCAACTGGAAGAACCCACTTCCACACCGACTCAAGGGGCTGTTGGCAGGAGGCCTCAGAGCCGCTCTGTGGGCCTCTCCATAGGCTGTCTGAGTTTCCTCATGATATGGAAGTTGATGGTGATGATTATGATGATGATGATGATAGAAAGAGAAGAAGGGAAGGGGAGGGGAGGGGAGGGGAGGGAAGGGACACAGCCTAAGTTAGAAGTCACAGGCTTTTTGTAACCCAATCTTAGTGATATCTCATGGCTTCTGCCATATTCTATTTGTTAAAGTGAGTCTCTAGGTTCAGCCCACACATAAGGGGAGGGGATTACACAAGAGTGGGAATACTAAGAGACTACTGTAGTGGGGACCTTCAATCTGATCATACTGGCAAACTCCACAAATACAACATTCTTCAATTTATTTATGTAAATACAATTAATGGCAGGGCACAGACTGGGTGGAAAAATACATGATACATGATACTGTCACTGCCATACCCCTTGCCTCAGTCAGTTCTATTTTCCTTCTCCAGGGAAAACAAGTCCTACAGGCTCCAAGTTACAGGACTGACTGATTGGTTAAAGGCATTCCAGAGGAAGCTTCCATTTATTTTTATAAGAGGACATTACTCTGCCACAAAAAAAGAATGAAGTCTTACCATTTGCGACAACATGGATGGACCTAGAGAGTATTATGCAGAGCGAAATAAGTCAGACAGAGAAAGACAAATACCATATGACCTCACTTTTGTGTGGAATTTGAAGAACAAAATAAATGAGCAAACAAAACAGAAATAGA